AGCCCACCATCGAACAGGCAATCTTGTTGTTACATCAGCTGAGCCATCCTGCCACCTGTTGGCTGCTCAGTGACAGCTCAGCTCAGGTGCAGTGTCACTGGCCCATGTGGGAATTGAACCAGCGGCACTGTTGCTCAGAGCTCGTGCTCTTAAGCCAACTCTTACACCTGAGCCACTCAGCTGGCTCTCGCCATCAGTCATTTTAATAGAGCTTCTTGCACAGCGAATTAGTTGTTTGAGTACCTCAAGTGCTGATAGGGATTCAGAAAGTTCAGCCCATTAACTCTGAACTGGAGGTAAGTATTTTTAGAAGCCAGTCTCAGATATGAAGGCATCCAGTGAAGAAAAATGTGGTTCCTGTGCAGCTCTTGTTCAGTATCTTCTGAGTGTGTGCCAGCCTTCCAGGCTCTGTGCAGCCTGAGAACCGGAGCTGCAGCACATGTTTCGCCTGCGTCCTGGAATCGGAGTCTTTCCTCCTAATTGGCTCTTAAACATCGGATAGGTTCTCGCTGCCTGCATTCTGCCATTCTAATATGGCTCTGTGGGTAGCGGGTTGTGGATTGAAGAAGACTGGGGTATTTTTTTTAGAAACTGATAAAAATCTCTTCTTTCAAACAGTAAGAAAATCATAGGTAAAACTTTGTTGTGGTAAAATCTTGGTTATTTAGAAGATCAACTTTCTCAGCTTCTTTGAAACAGAAGAGCTAGCTCTTTTTTGCTGGATAAAAAAAGAAGTGGTGAAAGAAAGGGATTGGATCAAAGGAAGACAGAAGCAGATGGTGGTGGAGATCAGCACCAGTAGTGTAAGGCTAAGATGGGCAGCCTTGTTCCCTTTAGATTTGACCTTTTCTACAGGGAGGAATGAGGCTGAGCAGTAGCCAGATTCTTTACAGAGCCTTTCCTACCCATCAGTAGACATTGTCCTTGAACTCTGCATCCTTCCCAGCATCATCATGACAACCACATCCCCACCAGTAAAGCCTGTCTTATTCTAATCGAATTACCTGGGAATAGGGAGGGACACAAATACATCACCAAAATAAATACATAATTAAGAAACTAAGAGGAAAAAGAGTTAGGCAGAGAATAAATGTCATACCCCTTCTTTCCCAGCTGGGATTAAAGGCATTCTCTCATGCTTGTTGTGGAAGCTTTAATAAAAGATGATCTGTTTTATCCCAAAGTCCTGCCCTTGATCTGTTGGGTCTTCTTTCTGTCAGTCTCGCAGGCTCTACGAGAGAACACCTATCCATTCCTGGCCATGATTATGCTGAAGGACCGGAGGATGACTGTGGTGGGACGGCTAGAAGGCCTCATTCAACCTGACGACCTCATTAATCAGCTGACCTTTATCATGGGTGCAAACCAGACTTACCTGGTGTCAGAACGCCTGGAAAGGTACAGGGGAGTTCCTGGAACTGAGAGAGAGACCAGTTGTAGATCTGGGTGGCTGACCTGGGGCTCCACATCATGATTTCTCCTTTAGGCAACTGTAAAAGCCTTGTCCATTTAGTGTTAAAATATTAATGTACTTTGAAATAACTAACTCTCCATCGGATCACCTGTTCTTAGAGATGTAANATTATCAGATTGAATACTCTTCCTATACTATCTTTTAATATAGTATGAAAATATTTTAAATTATGCAAACATAACAACTGATGTTTGAAATGGATATGTTTTAAAGGAGTCTTGCTTATTGTTTTCAAGAACCAGTTTACCTGTCCTTATCCTGCCTCCTCCCACCATGTTTGTCACCTCTACATTCCCGGTTAATCTTCTCACCCTTTCCTTTCTAACCACCATTATCTACGAGCTTCACGCTCCTTGTAACTTTTACCCGAAACCATCTATAACCCCATGTGACTACTTTCAATCCCAACAGATTCTCTTACTCTGAAATGATTCACTTTTCTTTAGATTCCTCCCACCGTTTCCCCTCTCTAGACACTTCTATATGATTCCCTCTGTCTAGGCAGCCCATAGGTGCTGACTCCGGAGCCCTGGCGTATGTTACCCCCTTGCTTCAGACCTTAACCTTTCTTCTTGCTTCCTTCATGTGCCGTTTAGAGAGCTCAGCACTGGAAGCTATAGAGGGGCCAGGGCTAGAAAATGTCCAGGTGGCCCTAGTAGCTGGCACATCAGGCTTGGGGTGTTTGGTCTAGAGCTGCGTAGTAGATGAACCCACAGTTAGGCGTTATGGGGAGCTAAAATATTTATGGGCATCCAGGACAATAGATGGAGCTAGAATGTGCAGCCTGGGCCTGCGTACAGGGCAGACTCTACCTCATGGTCTTTGCCTTACTCTAGGGAGCAGGGGCCTGAGGTGAGGACCCAGTAGCGACAGAAGTGGGGGGTCAGACAATACCTGTGACTTTGGTGTTTTATGAGACTGCCTGCTTAATGGCTTCCCTGCTTTAGCAAAGTTCTTATGGGTCACCAATGAACCAATTAGCACTCTTTCCATCCCTGTTTTAGTTAAGAATGAGCACGTAAAAACGTGTAAAGTCATAATGAAGACTGAGTTGACATCTCTATTTTTAGAAAAAGCTGATTGTCCTAAATTGTGTAGGCCATGGGAATATATTGTAATGAGCAACAAAAAAGTTGAAG